CCCGAGACCCAGAGCTGAGTATACCGCGAGCTACAGCGGTATACTGAGACGTCACAGCCGGGATGGATCTCGACATTACTGTCCAGATCATCCCCGCTGCATGAGTGACAGCTGGCTCTGCCAATCTAGAGGCAGAGCCAGCTGTAAACGCCCCCTCCCCCGCCCGTTCCTCCACTCAGCGCTGGAGGATCGGAGAGGGGTGACAGTCACGGCTCTCTGCAGGGACAGGATCGAGAAGTGAGCGAGCCACGGTATGCGTTCCCTCACTTCCCGATCTATTGAGCTGGTGTGTGACAGTTTCATTGTCACACGTCGGCTCGAGCTATGAGGTTGTGTGAAAACCACTCACCTCATAGTTCTCCTTTAATGTAAACCTTGGGGAAATTTTTTAGCAACACTGTATCTTGAGAAAGAATTGTGAGGTTAGCTGAGATTAATTTTTGATAGTACCTTGCCAACATTCGTGGGAGCCAACCAAGGGAGACAAAATGCTCCAGCACTCCATAGACCATCCCAATCCACCTTATATTTTTGAAAATTGGTTTTACCAATAAATGTAAAAATTAAGTCATATTGTGTCATCATAAACTGAGTTGAGCAGAGCTACAACATAAGGAAAAGTATGCATGTGCAGGTTCTCATTCCTCCAGGTCATAGTGTATCTGTACAGTATAAGTCAAAGCAACTGGACTTGCTGTATTTTTCTTGAAGACGTTTCACTGGTCATCCGACCAGCTTTCTCAATTCAGGTTGACTTGTACAAAAATTATCTGGGAATAAATATGGTGAATGTCGCTCCAATCCACATAATCTGTTAGTGGAAACCAGGTGTTGATTGCATTTGCATAATTGGAGTCCAGGAGGTGTTAATAACCTGCCCAGAGAGAGGTGTTAAAACAGCATTGTATGTGGCAGGGTTTTAAAAAAAAACATCACATCCCTGTCTGCTTTAAACCCAGCAATACACTGAGGCAACAACTGGTTCACCCAAAAGACCCGACGCCAACACACAAGATGAACAACATTGTGTACGCAGTCCAGTGCAGTGCGGAGCACTCAGAATTGTAGGGGCGGGTCTATTCGAACTGATACCAGGACAAACCAGGAAGTAGCAGACGATTTAGAAGCTACAACATACCGGCCGGTTTCTTGATTTTAAATTGTGAGTTCTTTTATGTTTTTTTATAATAAACGTTTATGCATACCACACCATGAGGAGGTTTCTTTTGTAATTATATAAATCCATAACAGACGGAACACTGCCGAAAGAGACATCTGAGATGTGGACCCTCTGATCTGATATCGCTGCATTATCACCTCAACTGTGGGGTGAGTGCATACCCGAAAGGGGGTAATTCGGAAACACTCATAACACGTTGGTGTGGAAAGAATTTATAATTATTTTCGAAATATTGGCTTGAAGTCTTCATTGGATTCACTCAGAAGCACATCACTGACTGTTCGCTTATAGGGACTGTTTTTCAGACAAATTCACGGTTTTACATAATTTATTGGCAGATTTGTGATATTTTCTAGGAATGCTTTTTTCACTACCATGATGACACAAGAGTGATAAAAAAATTTTTTTACACTGTGGTTATTTAATTAGAGATGTTATCACCACCACTGTATTAACGTTTGCATTATAAATACACGGAGTACTTATATTGTGATAATTATATATGTTCAAATAGGGATATTTTATTCATTTTTACTTTATTTTCACTTTTAGCGCTGCACAAATCACACTTCATTCATTCCTAACCCTAGGGTTTATAGCGCAGCAGCTTTCATATCAGACTTACCCATAAGCGCGGATTTTACATTCTCTACTCAGAATTGTATGTCGGTGAAACAAAACAGTAGCTACACCAGTGTATGGCACAGCATAGAAGAGCCAAACCCCCTGACCAGGATTCAGCAGTGTACCTACATCTAAAGGAAAAAGGTCACTCCTTTTAAGGCCCCCTTCCCACTTCGCGATATGCAAATCGTGCGTTTGTCGCGCGATTTGCATATTGCGCGACATCGCAAGATTTGCCGCGCGATATCGTGTTCAAGCTTGCATTGAGCAAGCTTGAATCGCGGCTAAATCCGCTCCAAAAAGGGTCCTGCTGTAACGACACACGACCCGCGACAGCAGGACCCTTTGCCCCATTGAAATGCATTGGAGCGCGATATCGCGCGGTAATTTGCCGCGATATCGCGGGAATTACCGCGCGATAAATCGCTCAATGTGAACGGGGCTGAAGACAGTCAACTACGCATCCCAGACAGGGAGGAGGACTTGTTCAAAAGTGTGTGGCAATTTATGTAAAAATAGAGAAGCCAAGCTTGAATAGAGGTTGGGGGGGCGGGGGTGAGACATCTATTGTCTGATACATACAATGCTGTTTCAACTGTTTTGCTGTTTCAACACCTCACAGGACGCCTCCTAGACTCCAGTTATGCAATCAACACCTAACAGATTATGTGGATTGGAGCAACATTCACCATATTTATTCCCAGATAATTTTTCTACAAGTCATTCTGAATTGAGAAAGCCGGTCAGATGATCAGTGAAGCGTCTTCAAGAAAAATACAGAAAGTCCAGTTGCCTTGACTTATTCTTTACAGATATAATATGCGGAAAAGACAGATTATGAAAAGGAATGAGCAAATAAATTCACAGCAGCCAGAACTGGCAGCAAATCCGGACAGTTCACTCCAAGCCGACGTTCACTTTGCTGTTGAATATGATCCACACAATGAACTGGTAAAGTGGTCCAACATCCAACACTTACCAAACCACCTCCAGTTGGGCGCCAGAATGGACTTCAGCCTAGCACCCTGGGATCTCAGGGTAACCTGATTTTTTTCCTAAAAATGGCAACAAGTGCCCTTGGTTGGTGGCCTTATAAAGTAATACTGAGTGACACAAAGCAAAATGGAAGGCACGCCACTTTTTAGGGTTCTGGAAGCACTGGACAGAACCACCCAGAGGTGTCTGCACAACAAATGATTTACGTTTTTTCTTTTTGGTGTTTTTTTTTTATTGTTTTCTGTCCACATAATAAAATGTGCAGAACATCTTCACTCTGACATTCCCGCAAGAGATAAGAGATGAAAGTAAGTGTTGTTTTTTGTTTTTTTTTCAGGTTTTGTGTTTTTTTATTGTACTTCACATGTTCAGTATGATTAGAACCTGATAACTTATTAATTTTCTAACAAAAGTCGGTTGACTTCTTTTGGATTATACGGTGAGCGGTAAGGGGGCCGGAATCCTTGACAAATAACTAAACAAGGAAAAAAAAAATCCTTACAATTTGCAGTAACAGAGCTTGTGGTAAGAAAAGCTTGCAGTTTCCACGGTAACCAACCCTCAAATGTTGTTTTACCAGCGTTTCGTCATTGTTAAAAGGATTCTGTTTTTAAACATGTAAAATAAAAGCACTTGACACCTGGTAAAAAAAAATAAAAAGTTTTACTTCTTTGCACAGGCTAGTGAAAAATTAAATTAGGCAAAGAACTATGTGTGTCTATATTATTATTTATTAAATCAAATGTGTTGTAGATACTGCATGTTCGGAATAATACTTTGAGCGTGGTTAGGTTAAACCGTCCAAAGCTTTATTTGTATATTTTGGCTGCAAAAACAGCAGTTAAGAGGAACAGAGGAACAAAATAAATGCATTAACCCGCTTGAATGGCTTTCCAGCCCACATCCAAATTCTGCCTAATGGAGAACAATCAATGTCTCTTATTTCTCTGCTTTTGTTTGGTTAAAATATACACATTGAATGGCCTGTTCATCCTGGCAGGAATCTAACATCCTCAGCTCTCTGACTACGGTGCACCCTTATCTCTTAGGACTACAGAACCCTTCCTATTATTGTCATGGGGAAGAGAAGACGGGGGTTTGGTTCTGTAGATCCTTGGTTTTCCACTGGTGGGTCGCGACCAGGGCCAGATTTCCCACAAGGCCAATCAAGGCCCGGCCTCGGGGCAGCAGGGAGTAGAGGGGCAGCAGGGATGTGAAATTCCTATCTCCCGATGCCCGGGACATGCAGTTCTGGGTTGCATTAAAGGAGAACTATGGTGTCAGGGGTTTTCCCC